ATCATCCAAATGCACTCTAGCAAACTTCAGACGGGCCTGGACATGTACTGGCTTAAGCAGGGGGACACGTCTGGCACTGCAGGATTTGAGTCCCTGGCGGCGTAGTGTGTTACTGATGGTAGGCTTTGTTACTTTGGTCCCAGCTCTCTGCAGGTCATTCACTAGGTCCCCCCGTGTGGTTCTGGGATTTTTGCTCACCGTTTTTGTGATCATTTTGACCCCACGGGGTGACATCTTGCGTGGAGCCCCAGATCGAGGGAGATTATCAGTGGTCTTGTATGTCTTCCATTTCCTAATAATTGCTCCCACAGTTGATTTCTTCAAACCAAGCTGCTTACCTATTGCAGATTCAGTCTTCCCAGCCTGGTGCAGGTCTACAATTTTGTTTCTGGTGTCCTTTGACAGCTCTTTGGTCTTGGCCATAGTGGAGTTTGGAGTGTGACTGTTTGAGGTTGTGGACAGGTGTCTTTTATACTGATAACAAGTTCAAACAGGTGCCATTAATACAGGTAACGAGTGGAGGACAGAGGAGCCTCTTAAAGAAGAAGTTACAGGTCTGTGAGAGCCAGAAATCTTGCTTGTTTGTAGGTGACCAAACACTTATTTTCCACCATAATTTGCAAATAAATTCATTAAAAATCCTACAATGTGATTTTCTGGATTTTTTTTCTCTCAATTTGTCTGTCATAGTTGACGTGTACCTATGATGAAAATTACAGGCCTCTCTCATCTTTTTAAGTGGGAGAACTTGCACAATTGGTGGCTGACTAAATACTTTTTTTCCCCACTGTATTATAACAATGTGTATTGAAAATTGTCATCCTTTAGCCTTTTTGTGAACCATACGATGTGGACAACATTTGCAGAAATTACTTCACCAAAACCCCCTAACCATCATATAAGCACAACCTTTACATTCCCTCTCTCCTAGCCTCCCCTCTCCACCCACCCTCTGCCCCTTTCCAAGCCAGGTCTTCAATTTAATTCCCCATCTGTGCCCTGCTTGAAATATTACCCCCAGAAATGAGATCCGTGACTCTGAATACAGAGTGAGGAGCACCAGGGGAGAGACAGGGGGACATGGCCTGATCCATGGCCTACAGGCACGCCCCTGCACTGGGAAGGCGCCCCTACCTGGATCCCCCCCCCCCCCCCCCCCCTCCAGTGGCAGGGCTAAATATTTGCCCTCTTCCTCTTGGCCGTCTAGGTCTAGAAATGTCCACCCAGCCTCCTCCCCCTCGACCCCCAATAGGGTAGCGGTAGGCAGGAGTTCACTTGGGACGGCCAGCGAGGCAGGCTGCCAAAGCCACGATGACAAAAAGTTTCCTCTCATTCTGGGAGGTCATAAAAGTTCACCAACCTGGAAAGAATGGCTTTCACATTTTTAAAACCTCTGGGCTACACGCACAAAACGGGGTGGGGGAGTGGGGGGTAGAAACGCTGTCAACTGGTCTTTGTGTGTCCCAATGATTTGGAGAAAGGAAACTTCAGAACTCTAAGAGCGGTCTCCCCAGACGACGACCAGTTAGTGTTGCATATTCATGACCTCTCTGTCTCTGCTCTCCATCGTGTGGTGGGGTTTTAATTGCTATAATTCAGAGTAAAGAGCTAGCTGGAGGGAACGATAGACAGACAAACAGACAGTGCAGACGTGTCCCTCCAGGGGAGATGGGGAGGACTGCCACCAACATCAGACTCAACCTCACAACAACTACTCACAACTGCCCTCATCATCACATACTGTCCTACAGCTAAACGTTCCTGTAAACGTATCTGCTCTATGCTACCATTTGATCTACCAAAGAGCTCCTGAGCCACAGAGCAACAGGAAAGGAGTGACTCAGCAACCAGCACTGCCTTTCTGTGGCCAATCCAATCAAACCTGCACTACGGCACACCTGTCCTGCAGATAAATGACACTGTCCCACTAAAGCTCGTCAATACCATATCAAAGCACATTTTCAGATCATCACAATAACATGACTAATGTATATAATCTCAAACTAAAGCCACAGGCCTATACCATGAAGAAAGGAGTAACTTAGCCCATTGGTATGTTGTTTACTAATGTTGTAAATTGGCTGTTGTTTTTACAGGTTTTTTTATCGCTTTGGTGCTATTTTCACAAGTATATGGTTAATTTTCACAACTCTTAGTATACAACTAAAAAAAGATCATCATAAAGGCAGATGTTTCAAAACTCTAAGCATATTTTCAATTGACACATTTCCATTACAAACTTGTGTGTAACAGGACAAAGTGACAACAGTCAACATATTTTGGTATGTGACCCCAATGGGAATCAAACCCACAACTCTGGTGTTGGTAGTGCCATGCTCTTATGAACTGAGCCATGTACAGGACCACTACAATACAGAAGCACAACACAATACTGTAAAATACAATACATGATTACAATACAGGTGGAAGATGTACGATTGCTATCTCAATAAGCGTACCACAATCTTTCAGGGCATCGATGAGGCATGCAATAACATCAATCCAGACCTATGTCAGGCTTGGATTCGCCATACCGAAAGTTTTTTCCCCAGGTGCATGAACAATGAGGATATTTTCTATGGCCAAATGCTCAAGACAGGCTTGATGCAAACTAGTGCCTGCTAAACATTATGTTTCTGTCATTTATTTCATTTGTTACATTGTGAAAGATGTCTTCAATGATCACACCTTTGATCACACATGGGATAGAAATTATGGAAATGTGATGTTCAGTCAATTTTAATGGGTAGTGCAAGTGTATTGCCTAATGTGAAAACAGTGTAATGTACTGTAATGTACAGTACTGTAGCATACTACATTCAAATAGAAATTTTGAAACATGTATCTAAAAAAAAAAAGATATTGGATTAACTGGTTATTAAGATAACTAAATTGTGATTTGATGATTAAACCAATGTACTCATTATATTTCACAGTAAACTTATATTTTGGATCAATGGTTGTGTGGTGAAAGATGTCTACAAACAAAATGAATGCACAATGAAAAGCATTGAATGTAAGACCGGCTGTGTTACAAGTGTTACCAGTTTGGAGTATTGTTCCATGAGTTTTTAAAATTCAACACATGTGAAAATAGTACCAAAGCGATAAAACCTGTAGTAGGGGCTGAATTGTGCTGTCACATTGACACCGGGGCAGAGAAGATGTTGACAGGGAGGACATTACAAATAGTGACCGTAGGGCTTTTTTAGGCCGGTGGCATTGGGGGGGATGACGATAGGAGTGTGTGTGTGTGTGTGTGTGTGTGTGCTTGCCTCCGTGTGCATGCATGTGTTCATGCGTGTGTGTGTGTGTGTGGAGGGAGATTGCCTGTGGAGCCGAGCATGTGGATGCCCACCCACTCAGCGGCTCCCGGCCCTCGTCACTTTGCATCAATCAACAGCCCCTCGATAAAAATAGGACAGTCGTCCTTAAGCTACGTGGTACTGTGGAGAGCGGCATGGGCCAACCCTGGGCCTCTCTGGCAGAGATGAGACTGAGACAGTGCCAGTCTGTTGTCATGCCAGCCACGTTGTCATGTCTCCTTCTCTCTCAAATATACACACTGTTCCATAGCGTCTCAATCTCTCTTGATCTTGTCTTCAGTTACAGCACACTAACAATCACAAGTGTATTACCTGTAGAAGATAACAGTTGCAACAACACACTTGTGTAACCAGTCTACCCCAGTGACCTCTCCAAACCAGACCACAACACTCGCTACTCCCAATTTCCATTAGAAATGTGTGTTTGTGTGTAGAGTGGACTAGTCCCTTGCATGTTGAATTAAAAATTTGCTCACATCAATGTGTCAGGATCTAGCTAAATGTATTTTGGCCAGGAGATGGAGACAGAGCACGAAAATAAAGGGTGCAGCTGTACATGGCAGCTTCCCCATGGCAGCACAGAAGCTTCACACTTCATTATTACAAGACCAGCGAGGTGTGAAGCCATTACATAGAAGCAGGGAGGGAGGGGGGAAAGGGGCAACTGATACCCAAAACACAGTGAGCCCTCTCTGGATGCAGGGTGAGACCATCCCCTCGGAAACCCTCCTTGATGTTTTCAAACAGCTGGGAGGCGTTACTTGTCCCAGTATCAGCAGAGAACAGTACTAGTTAGTGTGACTGGGAGCAGCAACTAGTAATCAGGAAATATTGTCCAGTCAGGGATACATTTAGATGCACAACAATCTTGTCATCAGTAGGTCTACTTTCAGCATATCCAGGTGATGGTCAAGCATGTGAGATAAGATATTCATTTTTGGTGAAAATATCAAACTTTTTTAGGCTGTAAAACTGGATAAAAAATATACTTGACTAAAAAGTCAGACTGTGTCTTATACTCCCACCCAGTGGTGAAAAGTAGAGAATCACATCTGTGTCCACGTCACCTGAGTCAGGGCTGGTGGGGGGGGGGGGGGGGGGGGGCTCTCAAATCTCATTGAATAACATGATAAAATCTCTTAAACATTTTAGTATAGGGGTGTGTTAACTACGTCCGATTGATTCACCGCTAGAATTTAAATGTACAGTTGGTCACATAATCTCGCATGAAGATTTCTAAAGAATTCGACCGTCTATGAACGAATGAATAACATTTATAATATAATAATAATATAATATAATATAATATAATATAATATAATATAATAATATATATAATATAATATGCCATTTCGCAGACGCTTTTATCCAAAGCGACTTACAGTCATGCGTGCATACATTTTTGTGTATGGGTGGTCCCGGGGATCGAACCCACTACCTTGGCGTTACAAGCGCCGTGCTCTACCAGCTGAGCTACAGAGGACCACATTTCAAATGGATTATGTAGTTGATTAATTATCCCTTCTTAAATGCAATAATGTAAATGATTAATTATTTCCTGGCAATCACTAAAACAATGTACCAGGGAGCAAACATATTCTGCTAAAGTTCTATCTAGCAGGCAATACACACGGATAGTCGTTGGGTGGATGTGGAAGACCCCGAACGGCCAAGATGGCGGCGTCCATGGCAGATGCCGGGGTGTTTGAGAAGTGGCTGAATGATCGGCTAGACTACTTAGAAGTGGACCAGGAGGTGTATGGAGCTTATATTTTAGGAATACTTCAAGAGGAGGAGAGTGACGAAGAGAAGGAGGACGCACTGCTAGGAATTCTATCTGCGTTTTTGGTAAATATACAGCAGGCAGACATGCCATGCTTGCGCCGCGGTAGTCAATAGCTGGTTAACGTGCTCAATGGTTACAAGTGGGTGTAAACTACGCTAACTAACAACTGAGTGACTACAATCGATCTGTTCCCTATAACTAACTGGTAACAACATTAGCTAAATGTGCCAATCTAGCGTTAGCCATATTTGGAGATGGGGGTTAGGCGAATCAAACCTGAAGTTATCCAGACCCTTTCTATTATTAGCCGGCTAGCCCATATTGAGACTCTCACGACTCCAGCTGGTTAGAAGGAAGCTGAGCTGGACAGACAAACAGATGATTCATGACATACAGCAGGGTGGCCAAGCCTCGAGAGCTACTGGGTACCGACCCGTATGCAGGTTTTAGTTGTTTTTACTAATCAGCTGCTCGTCAGGTTCAGTTGAATTAAGTTTGTTAGATCAGGGTTGGAGCAAAAGCCTACATGGTCAGTAGGCTACTCCAAAAGTTGGCAACCCCTGACATAGAACATTATACTAACTGATGATTCACTGCAGCCCAATATGGCGAGTGGGTGGGTCGAAAGAAATGCAGTGGCCCCCCTTCCAGCATTGGAGAACATCCCAAGCCACCCATGCGTGAGCGCAACATCTATTTCTATGGGCACAAGAACTGTTCATGACACAAACTGTTCACCCCTCTTGTTGGCTGAGAGAACATTTGGAAGGTTTAAAGGTTTTCCTGCAGTTCTAAACTTTCAAGAGTAAGTTGAAAGCCAGACTGAGTCAAAAAAAACTGGCCCGCAAATTGCTTTTGCGTTGTATGTGTGTGCTTACTGTGACTGTCACCCCGATATTGGCTACTAGGTAGCTACTTCCCACGCTGTTGCCGGACAGAAGTGCTTGGCAAGCGGGAGCGAAGGTGTCCCGGTGTTGTTGCCGTTCATGCCCTCCCCATTGAGTAGTAGATTTTATGTATGTATCAAGGTGACATCTGGATGGTTATCAATATTAGTTATTTCTTGTATAGGCTACTATCCTACTTGAAATCAAATCAGTGGAAGGAACATTTTTTTTGCCATGTTAGACTACCACCGGCGACACGACCGTGATACAGCTGCCCAGTAGGAGGCACCTCAGGTCGGCAGGCATGTCGATACAACACCTGTACGCTGGCCGCTGGCTTATCGACTCGTCGTGCAGCCCAATCAGCCAACCATAACGGTCTTGCGTGGCAACAAATCTGCCCAATTAGCGGATTCACTTTCCATACACCCACCCCTTTCAACACACCCACTCGCCCATACTCCGGTTGCCATATTGGGCTGGAGCTATCCATACTTCTCTCAAAGTAGTGATGTTCAAATTCACTAACTAAATGCATCTCCATACTCTACTGTCTTCCATGCACAGGAGGATGAGAAACTTGAAGATGTCTGCAAAGAGATCATTAGTCAGTGGGCTGAGAGCTGTGCCCAGTCTGCAACCAAAAACAAGGAGGATGGTATGAACATGAATCAAAAGCTAAAAATTTAAAGACAGAACATTATTCTAGCTTTACTTTCAGACATGAGCTAATAGCTGGAGCAGCCATTGTATGGATTATCTGTTGAATTTCCTCTCTCTCTCTGTCTGTAGTTGAGGTACTGGCCATTGCCAATCTGATAGAGAAGCAGGCACAGATTGTGGTGAAACAGAAGGAAGTATCCGAGGAGTCCAGGAAGAGGAAAGAAGTTAAAGAAGCAGTCCTGGCTCAATATGCCAATATCACAGATGATGAGGAATATCCTTAGCTCAATATATTGCAACTGTTGTGTGCCCCTACAGTTATGCTTTGCCCCTAGTTAAACCTATACAGCGCTAAAGTTATTCAGAGTTTATTTCTGTAATGTATAATGCAAGCAGTGTCTCCCAAAATGTTCATTTTTAACTGACTGAAATGAGTAGCACTATTTGTATCGTTTCCCGATCATTTTTCAAGTTTCCTTGACATCAACACTGAAGCTGAAGAGGAGGAGCAGGCAGGAGCTGCTTTTTGCCCCAGTGGTGATAAATGTATCCTTTTCTATGCCTCCTATTTCTCCTCCTATAATCCTATTGAGGAAAATGTACTTACTGTGATATGTGGTTGTCCCACCTAGCTATCTAAGATGAATGCACTAACTGTAAGTGTCTGCTAAATGACTAAAAGAATGCAAAGTTTTTTTAGCATCATTGAAATTTCCCCCTTTAATTTTTAAAGCCATTTATGGCCCCCAGTCAACTTCAACCGGGTAATAAAAATTTTGGCGTTTTCAAAAAGCGCCGGAAATAAATTTGGGACTAGGACGTGGCCGGACTTGAATAGTTTAAAGAAAGGGGAAACCTGACCGGGACACACCCCTACCAGACCTTTTTGAAACGGGGCGGGGGTTTTTTTTTTGGGAAACCCCTTTTGGGCGCCTACCCCTGTTTAAGAACACCAACGGGAGGGTTTTGACCGGGAAAGAACAGCAGAGGGCCCAGGAAAGGGAAGACTCCATAAGAAGAAAAACAGAAATGCAGCGTGGAAGGAAAATACCCAAGCGGACAGGGAAGGACAAGGGAGAAAAACGCACAAAAAAGGGGGAAAAA